ACCCACCCCCACCCACACCCACCCACACCCACCCACACCCACCCACCCACCCACCCACCCACCCACCCACCCACCCACTACACTATGCATTTGAGCTGAGGATCTTGACCTTCGCGCTGGCAGTGCAAGGCTTGACCACCGCCTTTAAGCTTTGCTTCAACTCCATGATTGCCGACTTGCTGGACAAAGAGCCTTGAAAGCTATATGTCAGAAGTGTCCTTTTCTGTTTTTTCAGGTGAGTTTGGTGGCAAAAACAACGTGAACTGCCTTTGGATTGGGTCAACCCATTAGACCAGTGCCATGGCACTAGTGAGTCACCCCGTCCAGTGCCTCCGAACTGCACCGGGGGAGCGCGTCCGTTTCGCCAGAACCTTGAAACCAGCTGATTTGGAGGTTTCCCTTGCAAGGCACCTGGAATTCGGATGTATCCTTTGCGAAAAGATACATCCAAAAAGCCACCTGCCTTGCAAGGGAAACCTCCGACTTTCTAGCAATCCTTGAAAAAGCGATGTTTCGGTCAAACGATCAGAAACAGGGCTCACAGGCCGAAATTGCTCAGCCTAAAATTTAAGGGACCCTGAAGCTGGGTAAGGAGCAACTCCAGAAGGGCTTCGTTGTGTTGAACCACGTGGACGTGCCTCGGCATCAAGTTGGACTTGCCTCGGCATCGAGTCGGTCCCGTTACATACACTCCCTCAGACTAACATGGAAGCTCCGTAAATAGAACCAAGTCTTCGAAAGGGGTTGTGGGAGCTTCCATGTTAGTCTGGGGAAGGTAGCCGAGTAGTCTTCTTAGACTACCTTGTTGCTTTGTCTGTTTCAGCCGTGTGCGCGCGTGTGGGCTGGTCTGCACATGTTGAGACTGCATTGTTGGAAAGAATTATGGCCTACCTGAAAGTGTACCTTAACAACGGAATTCACCCCATAATTTTTCAGGGCAATCACCCCACTTGAAAGGGAATTTCGAGGGTCCAGGTAGGTTTGCTCTTGGAGATATGGCAAGCTTGTCCCCAGGTGCGAGCAATTATGATACTCGTCATGGTCATCATGGCTCATCGGTTGCTTCGGCCATGTGGCGGTTGGATTCACATAGTATGTGAGGCGCTCCAAATTGTGTTTCCCACTTGAGCTCAATCAAAACCCGGGTAGATGAAGGGTAGTAAGGGATAGTCCCAACCATAAATGAGTCCAACCATAAGTGGGTTCCGGATTCTGGGGATCGACCATTTTAATACCGATCGGTTTTGATGACTCACTTCGTCTCTAACCCACCAGTTTCTGTGGGTTTGTTTCAGTGAATCCTTCGGGTCGCAAAAGCCTCCTCGAAGTCCGGATCCCTGGTGCCAACTTGCCAGCTTGCTGAAACCTCTAGACTCGGGAGCCACTTGTAAGCGAGTAGCGAGTTGACATCCTCAAAATGGCAGACTCTAAATGGAAGCTTACAGGGACAAGCCCGATGCTGATTTCTCTCCAATTGCGGTTTGAAGGAACCCCCACTCAACCCTTTTTTTGTTGGCCCAAGAAGGATGGTTCAGAGGGACACCCCAAGAACTTCTTGCACCTGGCCTGCTGGCTTTGGCCAGTCGCCCGAGTCTGGAGCAACCGGTCGAGGGACCCCCGGTGCTTGATGTTTCCTTTTGGTTGCACCGAGCCATTCTTCCATCTTTGAGAAGTCCCACGCATAGCGTATTCTCAGATGGGGCGGGCTCATCACAAATGCTAAAAAACACCGTATCGTCGGTGAAACGTCACGGCGATCAGCTCGTTTGCCCTCAGTAAATCCTGCAGATCCAAAAACAACGGTGCCGGAGTGTTCGGGAGGGTTTGTTTTGGGGGGACCTTTAAAGTGGAAGGTTCCACTTTTGACCTCCCCCCCCCTCAAGGCCTCAAGGCAAGGGGGATCAAGTACGCATGTTGCTGTGGTTTCCGGGAGCCATGTGGATGTGTCTCAAAATGGGGGGATTTCCAAAAGTGGATAAAGGGAATCCAAAAGGAAGCCAGCTACCGAGAGGCCCCAAAAAAATGGAGAAAGACCCATGTACACAACCTAGGTCCCCCAGTAGTGCCGATTCTCACCTCAATTTTGGGGGAGGGTTCCCCTACTAAAATAGACTGCAGAAAAACGGGTACCCTTATTCTACCCTCTCCACTGGAGGACCTAGCAACAGAGCCGGGCAAAAGCGTTAGCTGCGCGAGGTGTTGAGCCGCGGCCTCTCCTTGTGCTTCGTGATTTGGATCCAGAAGTGCCTTGGAGCAGGGGGTCGGGCCCGCCAAAACAGTTTCAGATTCTGGGGAACCTCCAAAACAGTTTGCACAAATTAGGGTAGATAAGGTCTCCTCCACAACGTTCCAAAAGTGTTAGGCAGATCAAATCTGAGACAGGATCAGTGTGAACACATGATGGCTAGGGTAGACGAAATGCGATGCATCTGACTTTGCTTGCTGTGTTCCTCAGAATGGGCCGTAGCGGAGAGGGAGGAAACGGAAGGCTCCCTTTTCAGCCATCAGTACCACGATAAAGGTGTTTGTTTTGGGGGGAAACCCTTTTTAGTCGTTTTTTGTTCCCCTACTTGTTTTTCTCGGAACACCAAGAAGACACGCACAATTTGTGAGGGTCCCTGAAAAAAGGGGCGCACCCAGATATGTACCGCATGTGCCCGTCAGTATCCACGTATCTGAAAGTTGCAGGTGTAGCTCACGCTTCCAGCGCTTTACATCGTTCGAAGCCGCGGATGGTTGCTTGGTCCCCGTGTGTTGACACATACCCATTGAAGTCATCAGGTAGAGGTGACCAAGGAGCCCAACAATTTTGGGGTCAGTTCATTGCTTTGTGGCAAAAAGGCGCCTCTTCCGCAGGCTCTGTTTAGTGATTTTACTGACTAGGTCCCCCAGTAGTGCCCTTTTATATACCCTTTGTTGGTTGGGAGGGTTCCCCTACTAAAATAGACTACAGAAAACAAAGAGAAAAAACTGATACCCTTATTCTAACCTCTCTACTGGAGGACCTAGCTGATCATAATGGGCAAAGCGACCTCTTTGCAAAGGGCACCAGGTGATGAACTGACTTTGGCCAATGCGGTTTCTTATCCCCTTTTCGCTGGCTTCCAACCTCATCAACTTTGGGCCGGTTCAAAATAAGTTGTGTTTTGTTGGGGTGATGTTCTATATAGGAGAACTATAGGGGCGCCTTTGTTCATGCATGGCATCAGGATCCGCCCCAGCTGTTTTTTTTCTTTTTTGAGCGCGTCCTTGTAGGGATCACAACCGTTTGAGCTTCTTCTCTGGGCAGCTTCAACTGCAATCCATGCCGAATCGGTGTCAGCCTATATCTTTTCGTGCCAAAAGGAGACCCAAAGAGGATGAAACAAATCCAAAGCTGTCCAGACCCCTGTTGGGGTGTGGGTCAAACGTAGGTACCCAAAATTCTAGGGGTTGATTCCCTATTCTTTTCAACCATCGTTCTTTGCAAAAACCAGCAATTTTCCCTGAGTTTCCAGAGGTGTTCTAGAAAGAAGGAACCATGGAAAGAATGGGGAAGGTGCCCCTAGAAAAATGGCACCCTGGTACATGGCAACAAGGACCAAAACCTGCAGTCCCCTGTTAGTTTAGTCTTGACCCATACCCATTCCACACCCAGCTAATTTTGCTTGGTCTCACGCCAACTAGGAGTTAGGGCAGGCCTTGCCCATCTTTTTTTGGTACCCGAGCGTGACCCCCACCCTACGCAAGCACAGCATTTTTCAACCATTTTTTCACTATTCAAAGCGTCATCCTTATTCATTATGCATATTTCCACTCAAACCATTTCATAACAGTCTCAACCTCAAAATCCATCAAAAAAGTTACATTTTTCTCATTTTCTATTCCATCATTCTTGTCATTGTTAGGATGCCTGAGTGGAAATAGGAGTATAGGGTGGTTCATATGATATGGTTATTGATGGTAGGATGCATGGGCAAGGTTAAGCTCATTCATAAAAAAAAATCAAAAATAATATTGTTAAAACAAATATTTTCAAAAATAATATTTTCAAAAAAAAGTAATTTTCTCAAAAAAATAATATTTTCAAAAAAAAGTAATTTTCTCAAAAAAAATAATATTTTCAAAAAAAAGTAATTTTTCAAAAAAAAAAAATCAAAAATATTATTCCAAAAATTATGATAAATTATCTTACAATATTTTTATCACAAATTTTGTAGAAATATTATGGGCAAGGTTATGTAGATAGAATTTTATAACTTAAGTTCAGGATAATAATTTAATTGATGACTACTAAGTTGTATATATATCTTACTTCTTTCATGCATTATTTTTAAAATAATATTAATATCTCTCACTGTATTTTTCACATTAAACTTTTTTCCTTCAATATATGTTTTAATGTCTTCTTTTACATCAAACCCTTCCCTAAAATGACAAGTCAACATCCACAATATACCTTTAATCATTTCATATTTTTTCTTACTGATTTTCAGAAATATTCTAACATAACTATAATGTGGTATTTTATACACAGTTAAAAATATCAAAATGGCATCTTCAACATTTCTATTATTTCTTCTTTTTTTTCTCAACAAACAACTGATTATAGCTTGATTATCTCTCCATTCCTGACAATTTTCACATTCGCTTTTTTCATCCAAAGAATAATCAATAATATTATTAACTATTCCATTAGGTAAATTAATTTTGTATAATTCCATATTTTCTTTTTTGAAGTGGCAACAGTCGTAGCATTTCTTATTGATATAATTATTGATTTCGGTTTCAACCATTTCTATTATAATATATATAGTTTTTATTTCTTTAAATACTTTTTACAAGAAATATTAAATTATTATTTAAATTATTATCATTTACAACTACAATTGCACCTAACACAGTAAGGAATAATATTATTCAGTTCGTGCGACAACTCGTTTGATTTACGTTGCGCTGTTAGATTTGTCATTATATTTCCATTTTTCATATCCATAGAAAAACCGCATCCGCAGTAATTGCATTGATTATTTATATTGTCTAAAAACCACTGTGCATTTACATAACCTTCTTTAGGTATGGTTCTTTTTGCTTTCCTGTCCTGTTCCTTGTAGTTTAATATTTTTCTTTCAAAATAACTCATAATACATTTTTGATTAAATACATCATCAATATCTTTCGTATATTTATAAAATTTGACTTTGTTTAAATCTCTACACCTTGTAATTGCTGTCCATATCCATTCTGGATAATTCTTTACCAAAAAATGGTTATAATCAAAAATTGTTATGGTGTCATCAATGCTACTACCTTGAGCAGAATGACATGTAGAGCAATAAGCAAATATAAAATTGCTTCTTATTTTAGCAACTTCTACGGATTGTAAAATTTCGGTTTTGACATTCTTTAATGTAAATATTCCATCGCTTCCGATATGAACTATTTTATATTTGAAATTTACATTAAACACTGATGTTTTAGTTTTAGTATATTCCCTACATGTCAAAAATTCGCCTACTTCGTATTCATCTTTTCTATTTTCTAATTTTCTAATTTCATTTGAGACATTTTTACAAGTTGTATTTAAAAATGCTATGTTGTTGTTAGAATTGCTTATGTCAGTTGTATATTCGAAATATTTTTCAATAACTTTCATAATAGGTAATTTATTTTCAAAAATATCAAATTTAATATTTCTTAGTTTATCCTTATCTTCCTGTGTGTTAAGTCTCTTACATTCTTTTAACAAAATATTATATTCAAAAATGTTATCTATAATATTATCAGTATATAATTCATAGTCTCGAGTATTTGTTATCTCTTGAACTGGTTTTAATTGCTTGGTGTCTCCCGTTGCTATTATAATTTTGTTGTGTTTATTCTGCTCTACAAATTGTTTTATTCTCCAATATATATTTAAATTACTGAAATAAATTTCATCAAATACGATTACATCAAATTCTGTAAAATCAAATGGTTCTAATTTTGCATCGCCGTAGTTTATTCCAAAAAACTTATTTATAGTCATTGCTTCACCTTCGAATGCCTGTAATAATTTATTAGTAGGACAAATAAATATTACCTTATATTTTTTATCAACCATTTTTTGACATATATATGATTTTCCTGTGCCCGGTAGTTCGCCCCTGATCATAATAGGGTTATTCTGTTTAACAATCTCTATAATGTTATCAGTGTCGTATTCATCTTTAATATCAATAGTTTTACTTTCATGAACTGGTATTTTTATTAGATCATTCTTAACAACTTCATATTTTACAGTAGGAAGATTAATTTCATTGTCTCGTCCAGAAACTTTCCAACCTCCTATATCATTATGAAATTCTAATAATTGCTTTGCTTTCTCTACATTGTATGAATCAATTACAAAAGCATCGGTTTTCACACTATATACATTAATATCGTTGACTATTAATTTGTAAATGTCTTGGTTCATTTTAAAATTATGATGTTGCATGAGTAGTTCTTTAATATATCTATAGCCGTTTCTTAATACTGCTTTATCCCTTAATTTTAATATATAATATGATGCTTTTATATTTCTTTCATCTAGTTCACGTGTATACTCTTCATACTCATCCTCGCGCTCTTCGTCTTCTGTACCTATACGTGATAACCTATGAATTTTGCCTTCTATCTGTGATAACTTATGAATTTTGCCTCCGTATTCTGTTTGATAATGGATTGCTTCATCAATACTCTTAAACAAAATGCTTTGATGCGCGGTAGCCTCTCCCTTCTCTAATAATCCAAAATTGACATTTGCTATTAATTTTTTACTTAGTATATCATCATCATCATCTTCATCTATAGTAGTTTTCCAAAGTTCATTAACCATATCCTTATAGTTTGTTTTATGAATAAACGAAGGTTGTTTATAATATAATACTTTAATATTATATTGATTAATAAACTTTTTTAAAAACTTACCATAAACTAAATTATATTTTTTATTAAACATTAAGCCCTCTTTATTCCCCAGTACCGTTTTTGTCATTATGAATTCAACTTCTTCTTTTGATTTAAATTTTAAATTTTCCTCCAAAAGATGCTTACGTTTAATACGTTCCATACTGTATTTATTTGGTATATTCGGATAGTTAACTTCAATATAATATAATGTTAGATCGTGGAGTTCATCAATATTAATTGCATCATTGTATTCTTTCCAATTGTCAAACTGATTAAAAACTGGTATTTCAGTAATATCTATGAAACCTTTTGTAAATGCCTTATTTACATC